ATGTTGATACTACTTCAAATTGGCGTTTGATCACTTTCTTTCATATCATTTACAGTCCATTACTCATTGAAGATCGCTGTCATCTGATTTGTGGCATCATTTTTTCTGATTAGAAGTTTTAATGACGTATCCGAAACATTGGTAAACTTCCATCAGTCTGCACGTGGCTGAAACACACGAGATAGCCATCTTCACCACCACGAGAACCTCAAATCCTACTCATTAATCCTTAATATCCTTATCTTTATATCATTATTGTTTTAGTAAATATGTTCATAATTATATTACTAGAATAATGACCTTGTAAAATTTGTGTTTTTTAAGGTCTGTGATGGCGTATGAAGGACGTAATTGTCAATAAATATGTGTCTCAGTGTTTCAGACAGGGATGGTTGGCTATCCTGAATCTCTCACCGACCCATCATACCACGCTCAGATCCTGGTGCTCACCTATCCTCTCATCGGCAACTACGGTATTCCAGGAAGCGAGAAAGATGAGCACGGCATACCACAGTAAGAATTCATTAAACTGACTAGATAACTAATGGACCAAGTAACTTTGGTCCTTTTTCAGAAACTGGTATTTAAAAAAAATAATCTGTCTTTTATGGAATGCAGAGGTACAAATTTTTGTCATAAATGACCCATCTTGTAGGAATATTAAAAAGTACTGTTCATTGGGAAATTTTATTAATATAGAAATGGTAGTGAACTAAATGTTGCAGCAGAAATTTTATTTGAGTTATGATGGGGAAACCTCTCAGCAAGCAGCCACATGAAATACCGGTAGTTGTGAGGCGGTAAACTGGAATGGTTTTGGATTTTGTCCAAGAGTGGTAAGTTTCCCACAAGCGATGTTCTCGTGTGTCGGTCTGCAGCTGGTTCGAGTCGCACAGGATCTGGGCCGCGGGGTTGGTCGTGGGGGAACTGTGCGAGACACCCAGCCATTGGCGTCAAGCGACGACACTTTCTCAGTGGATGCAGGAACACGGAGTTCCCGGGATATGCGGCATCGATACCAGGGAACTCACCAAGAAGATTCGGGAGAGGGGAACCATCTTGGGGCGAATAGTGATGGGCGTGCCTCTCTCCCCCTCGGCTGAATTTCAAGATCCGAACAAGCGGAATCTAGTGTCGGAAGTATCTGTGAAGGTATGAGATGTTCTTTTTTGTGGGTGTGGGACCTTCACTGGGGCTCTGGTATAAAAATTTACCACATCAGTGAAATGGCACGTTCGAAATCAGTCTTGACGGTTTTAAAACAAAACACATTCTTCGCCTTATACTTCCAGCCACTCTGTGCTTACTGAAACCTCGTATGCACTTTGCATATTCCTCTTTATTCATCGTGTGGTCTAATTATAACTTTGTGCTCGTTACATTTGCCGGCTCGTTAGCACACTTCTAATAATTACCTGATAATTCATGAAACTTTAATGAGTCATAGTAGTTTTAAATAGTATCAACATTCTGTTGTCTTTTTAAGTTCATATATTTTTTTAAGGGATGTGAAAAGTTTGTAAAATAATCAATGTCGGGTCTGAATATGATTGTATTCTGGGATCTCACGACGTGTGACGTGGTAGAGGTTGACTGATGCTTCAGAGACGCACACAGCCTCCGCCATCAGAGTGATGAGTCGCGATGCAGCAAGCTCTTCTGCGTCATCAGTCAACCTCTACCGTACCGCATGCTGCAACATCCCTGAAGATGGCCATCTTTGTGCTCTCGCTGTGAAGACTTGAAATCTTACTGAATGTTGTTTCTGGTTGATCTCGACACTCAGACGGACAAGTGTCTTACCTCTCGAGTTTCACGTATCATTTCAGCGCGATGCCTTGGGTAGGATGTGGGATCGGAAGCAGCAAAATGGGACAGACGATGAGCGTGCGAGACTGCGAGTACGAACGTCTGCTTCTGTAATTTTACAGGCTCCAGTTGTGTACAACGCCAAAGGATACCCCAGAATATGTGTTGTTGATTGCGGTCTGAAGTACAACCAACTTCGCTGTTTCTTGACGAGGGGAGTGCGGCTGGATGTGGTTCCGTGGAATCACGACCTGAACCCGGATGAGTTCGATGGACTGTTTCTCAGCAACGGGCCCGGCGACCCGGCTGTTTGTGACGTTACAGTTGACAACATTAGGAAAGTCATGGGGCAGGAGGACAAGAAACCCATATTTGGCATTTGTTTGGGGCACCAGCTGTTCGCCACTGCCGCTGGCTGCCGCACCTATAAGATGAAGTGAGTTGCTGACGTGACCTTGCTGATTATAAAGAATTAATTGTTTTGTGGTAAACACAGACGCGTGTGAACAAGCTTGGGCTTTGTTCTGTTTGTCTGTCGTGTTGCAGTCACTGATATTCTTTCTGGGTGTGTTAATGAATTTGTACGATGCATCCAGCCAGTCATAACCATTCTTATTTGACGTATAACAATACAAATAGAAGGGTAGGAATCGTGAAATTCTTAATTATGTCGTTTCTTTGCTATTAACATTTCTTCATTGTGTCAAGAGCTGAAGTTCGTGTATCGTCGGCTGCTAACTTGAGTTGTTTTGTAGGTATGGTAATCGCGGACACAACCAGCCGTGCACGCATCACGGGACTGGCCGTTGCTTCATGACGTCCCAGAACCACGGGTTCGCCGTGGATGTTTCCAGTTTACCCGTAGGCTGGCTGCCTCTGTTCACTAACACGAATGACAGCAGTAATGAGGGCATCGTTCACTCCGCGTTGCCGTATTTCAGGTGAACTTTTGTTTGCAGGGAACTGTTTGTGAATTGTATTTATCTCAGAATTATATAACCCTGAATTTAAGCTGACTTTTCACAGACAAAGTGTTTATAAAGAAGGCTAAATGACGCACATGTTCGATTTTTTAAATTAAAAACTATTTTTTACTCTGTAAGCAGTAGGACACTTCTCTCCTTAACATAAATTAGATTTAATAAAAGTCACTAGAACTGTTTGGAAAACATACAAGTGTGACAGAATCTTTTTTGAATTTCTCTGAATTTTATAAGCTCTGATTAATAAAATTTTCTTGGTCTGTCCGAATCTGACGTCAGACAGAGATGGTACCCTGAAACGTCGGCAAGTTTTAACCATTTCACACAGCTCAAGAGGATTTTGTAATTCAGTTCGCCGTGAATCTCGTAGATAATAAACTGTGATGTGAACATTTATAAATGTCGTATTTGAAGGAAATTTACAAGAGCTGTTCAGACGCTAGTTAAGTGGAGACAGAAGCCACATTTTTGCAAATTGAATGTGTAAAATATACCTGTCTCTTATTAAACTGCGAGGACAAATTATTTTGTCGTCGCACTGCTCCAAATGTAGAGAGAAATATCTGAAAACTCCCCCCCCCCTCCCCCTCTCTTTTCTAACATTACTTCGCCTCTCAGTTGAAGGGAGGAAAATTGATTCAGGTCTTTGAGAGCAGCGTACCAGGAAAACACTTCGGCCTAAGACTTGGGGTAGCAACGGGATGACGTTTCGTTGCGAACCAAATATTATTTGGTTGAGACGGACGGTTTATGCAGCGTAAATAGAGCCCAGTTGCAAGCTCTAGGCATAGATGTGAGGATAATATTTAAATCTGTGTCGGAAAAATAATGTCTGAAGTTGAGGGGCTGAATTCAGCTGGCTCACGACGAGGTCCAGTGGTGGATTTTTTTGGTAACATGGTAATTAATCTTCAGGTTTCGTAATGATGAGGGGCGTATTGACCGGCAAAGCAAGTGCCATTTTACGACAGCGGTTCTCAACCTTTCGGTGCCTGTAGCAACTTTCAGCCTTATCCATTTGCAAGCCATTGGATTATGGCCGTTTTATTAAAAATTATTCCATCTAACTACTACAAACATGTTCACATATTATTTCATTAAATCAGTTGTTAATCAGATATTTGAACCTGCTTTTGCTTCGGTGATCTTTCATTATCCAGATTAATTTCTGTTGTGATTCACACGCATCCCCCCAAGTTTTCATCAGTATTACGCAGCCTAGTTCTTGATTTGACTTTCATAATTGAGCTGAGCAATTGCTCACAGCGATAGGAACCAGGGCTGTAGAGTTAGGTTGAGTCCGAGTCCGTAAAAATGTACCGACTCTGACCTCGATATCAAATCTTAAGAAAATACTATTTTATCACTTTCGCTACCGTGTGAGTGAGTGGCGGCCTTACGCTTAAGGAGATTCAACGGCGCGTTGAGCCACGCGGTGTGGGAATAATTCTTTGTAACTTTGGCTCCGGTACCGTAAGATTACAAACTGTCTACAAATGAACCGATTTCTGCAATAAACATTAGACGTATATTTAAATATAGGTCATAAATCTAAAAAGTAGGAAGATGATTTACGCGGTGGCGATGAAATGTCTTATCGTGCCGTTTACCATTTTAGTAGGTTTACCGTTATTAATACATATCGAGCTTTCATGAAGAAGTTGGATTCGGAGATTTAAAAATTGAGGAGCTGAAGTCGGAGGTTTTGTGTGCCGATTCTACAGCCCTGATAGGAACTGCCAGATGCTAACTAAATTGACGAAGCGCGTTTCAATTATTTTTCATGTTGACACAATTTTACAGAAATGTGACAGGAAACAGATCATTTGGCCTTATTGCGGGACATTAATCTGGAACCCGTTGAGATTGACGCTGAATCTGTCGGCTCTTTTTGTCGCTCTGCTAACATTCCGCATTCTCGTCTAGTGTACAGTTCCATCCAGAGCACACAGCCGGACCTCAGGACCTGGAATGCCTCTTTGACGTTTTCCTGGATGTGGTAAAGAGACACAAGGAGGGAAGGGAAATTTCGGTCCAGCAGTTGCTGTCTGAACAACTGATGTATTGTCCACCATATTCCACGAATCCATTGCAGCATCTGCATCCAAGGTAATCCAAATAAGTCTTTGTTTTTTACGGATTTTGTCACGGCTACAGTAAGCGATAATGAAGTCTCGATGCATTGAAGGTGACATTTGTTGATGAACTCTTGGCATAGAAGTGTAATGTGAATTGAAAGTGATGAAAGTAGGCCTGAGTAAAACCACGTTTGAGTGTCATTAAAGTGTAAGTCACTTTCACATGTTTTGATTGCGTTAATTTTGAAAAGGAAAGAAATTCAAAGTGAAATGTTTCACTCGGAGCTTGATAATAATTTTTTTTACGACGGATCATTATTTTTTCTAGCGTGATGCTGCGATTCACATATCTGTTTATTTTACATCTTGGGATATCTTAATTTTCACTGATTAATTCAAAATGTATTGATCAGTGCCTTTTAACGTCTTTGGTTTTATAAATTCAAAATTCGCCAACGTGGATAGGCATTAACGGACCGCTTTCTTCTCTGAAAGACGCTTTTATCTCAGAAATAGAGCGTATAATCCTTGGGGATGCAAGTATTTGAAGTGCGTTTGTGAATAATGAAACTTCTCATCATGTAACTTTGAATTGGGAACCTGAGAACACCAAAATAACTCTGGATGAGATACGAGGCTCGTCCTTAAAGTAAGTTTCCCTGGGGCCGTTTACAGAAACAAAACACAATTTCATGGAAATATTTATTGCAACAGATACAGCAAGTGTCCAGCTATTTTTCAACATATTCACCACCGGAATTGAGACATTTGTCATACCGTGGGACCAACTTTTGAATACCTGGGTCGTAGAAGTCTGCCGCCTGGGATTGGAACCACTGTGTGACAACCATCTCCGCCTCTCTGTCATTCTCAAAACGCTGACCGGACAGGAATTTCTTGAGGTGTAGGAAAAGATGGAAATCACTGGGAACGAGGTCCGGGCTGTAGGGTGAATGATCAAACACCTCCCAGCTGAACTCCTGCAGGAGACTCGCTGTCCGATTACAAAACAGAAAACAATAGAACAGTTTGAATGTAGCCTGTGTCGAAATATTCGCCAGCTAATTAAGTTCAAAGACAACACATTCTCGAAAAGGAGAGATGCAGTAATGCCTTGACGCTTAAACCGGGGAATTACAACTCGTAAAATGTTTATATTTAACGCACATTAACAACAGTTGCAATATTTTTTACTGAATACGTTCACGCGGATACTAGCAGGACTTGCTGAAAGCTGAGGCCGCATGAGTTTTCGTTCAATTTATTTACACGAGCTACATTTTAAAAACAAATTATCCACACCGCGCGCGAAATATATTCACACACACAGTGACCTCGGTATAGGAAGGAAAACTCATTAACGCAATTGTGTAATTGTAAAATGAAACAGCGTTTTTGAACATATGAAGCAGAAATAGGTCAGTGCCAGTACTCGGATAGCGCTTATCTAAACGTACTGCTCGGTGATGCCTGATTACGGTTGAAATAGCAAACCCGTAGGAGGGCGGTGTTCTGACTTGTTTTATGAAAAACGTGTAGTTTGGTAATTTGTTGAATATAAATCTATTTAATCCATGTTTTTAGTTCTTTCATGCATGCAGACGACAGCTGTTTTTCGACCGGGGTTTCTATAAAACACTATGAATGAAATAATGAAATTGCCGTCGTCTCATTATCCGACCTTCGGTTATCCGACATTCATTCCGTGTTATCTGATGTGTCGTGTCGGAACGCTCCATTTTGTCAACAGTCAACTCGGCTTGTGGCGGAATGAATCACACTCCCCCATTACGCTTCTTCTACATACTCTGTTGCTATAGTCGGCGCAGTAGAGAAGCTAGCGGAGCTGGCGGACGGGCCTAGTCTGTGTACCTGAGGTGGCACGGTTAGTGAATTTCTTTTGTTTGGGCGTTCAGTCCGATAAGCTCCTCGGTGCAGTCAGCATTATACTACCGCAAAAGAGACTCGCTCCTAGCCTTCCCCTTGAAAATTCCACCGGCCAAAAACTACTGCGCCGACTATACAGACGCTCTACTGTTCAGGCGCTGGCGTGACCTTGCCGCAAAGAAAAGGAAGGAGACTGAAGCAAATACCCATTACAAATTTCTTTCAAAATTAACCATGTCATTTACACATTTACATTATGTGAAATACTATTTTTTTATTTGATGCCGTATTGTATTTTGTTCGTAATTTAATAATATCGTAAATTGAGTTCATATTTACCCTCGTATTTTTAGTTTGTCTTACGTATATCCGACTTTTTCGATTATTCTAAAGTCTTTGGTTCAGTTTAGATAGGGTACTCGGGACTTGGCTGTCTGCATTTAGCATCTTTTGCTGTTCCTGTTGACCGCGTATTAATAATTCAAACATATCAGAAATCTCAGCACGATGTATTGACGTCTTATCTTGCAGTGTCAAGATTTTGAAAAGGAAATTTGTTACCAGGCACTATAATTTATAGTGAAAGATCAAAATATTACTAATATAGGCGTAAGAGTTTTTAAACATTGTTAATAACAACTGTAAAAGTTATAATCGGAGTCGGAAAATAGTTTTCACATGCGTTATTAGAACAAGAAGGATATTAATTTTGATGTTTGTGCTCTGCTGTTTCATTTTTTTTATCAGAAACTGATTTTTCAGAGGATAAAGTAGGTAGAGTATGTACATCAACATCCAGCACATAGTCCCTACATTATTTGTCGACAATTTGTATTTAGTTCTATTGTTTTTGGAGAAAAGTGTTCATAAAACGAAACATTTGTTATCTTAGACAAACACATGTTACTCAATACTTCACAGTCTGTGTTTTGAACAGTCCTATTAGGTTTCATTAAGGTCAGTAATCAAATGTATTTACGCGGATGGGCTGTTTGCTGCACTATATGTACGATCGAATTCCAGCCAAGGCAAATATTTTATCGCACCTTCAAATAAGTTGCAGATTATTATTAGAATGGTTTGTTTCCTTCTTGGGAGGAATGTCTAAAATTAATTAATTTGTTAATCTGACAAATTAGCCAAGTGCATGGAACAAAGTCCTCTTTGAGGAGCTTATAATATTCTCAAGTAGGCAAGAAATTCCTCGCCCATTATGGAACGTTGAGTTTTATTACCGTGCTTACGAGAGGAAGCCACTGATCATATCCTGAATCTTTTATTAAGTACCTTTTTTATGTGGCAGGTGATAGGAAGGAACAAGTTTTTACCTAATTACCGATTTTGTGGAACATGATCGGATACGTACCGTCACTGTGTTTTAATTGCTGATTTATGGGTAATACTTCATACAGAATTCTGTAGGTATGTTTACGATCTGTTGACATCCAAAATCCATGTGCCTTGCTCCAATGGTTAATTAGTTATCGACATTAAAGCGGAAGCTGAAATGCATATTTTATGTAGCTGTCATATTGTTGCACGTTCTCCTTAAAGTTGCATTAAAAAAAGCATATTGTCATTTCATGTTATTAAATTATGTGGTGCTCCCACTTCACAGATTTGTGCTTCAGTTATGTTGATGTTTTCGATTGTACGAAATTAGCCTGTTTTGTGCTTATCTTGCTGATAACGCACGAAAGACGAAGACTGTATTTACGATTATCGCCCTGATGATGGAGGCAGCAAGCACTTTTGAAACGTGGGCAAACTTCTAACAGATTACACGGCGCTACAACTCAGAGGACAGTCTTCTTCATACTCACCGCCTCGAGAACGTGATCATTATTTCGACACGGTGTTGACAGTCAAAATATGTTCCTTAATGATTAACATTGCTAGTAGGGTTCTAGATTCGTACTGACACTACTTGAGAAATGTTTTGCGACAGCTTCGTTATCTCCATGCATTTAGGAATTTAATGCCACGTTAAAATAGTCCCTCGATGATAATTAGATTGTAAGATATCAAAGCGAATATTTGACTTAATGAATAATGGCGGTTAGGGCAGACGAAGTGAAACGGATAACATCGTACGAAGGGAATTTGGAGTGGACCTAGTTTTAGTTGGTATGGACATTTATGTTTGACTTCTTACCTCGCACACCATTGGGCAATGTTAAAACTAAATCGTAGTAATGAGTCGTTCTTGAAGAATTAGAGCAGTGTGAGTCCTTCGATTTACTGATTTATAAAACAAAATGAACGATGTTATTTAGCTCAAGAAATACTACGTAAAAGTTTGCAGTGTAATTTATACTTTGTTGTCATTGTATCGATTTTAAATCCACCTTTCGGTGGCGTTGGTGCTTGACTGGGAGATCCCACACAGCGAGTACACACGTTGGAACTCTCATGGGGAAGATACCACCTGAAGGACTGAGATGGGATGATGATATTTCAGATAAGCGAGTTGTGAACCTGACTGAACCACACAACATACGAGGCTCGTCCCCCAAGTAAGTTTCCCTGGGGCCGTTTACCGAAACAAAACACAATTTCATGGAAATATTTATTGCGACAGATACAGCAAGTGTCCAGCTATTTTTCAACATATTCGCCACCGGAATTGAGACATTTGTCATACCGTGGGACCAACTTTTGAATACCTGTGTCGTAGAAGTCTGCCGCCTGGGATTGGAACCACTGTGTGACAGCCATCTCCGCCTCTCTGTCATTCTCAAAACGCTGACGCTGACGCTGACCGGACAGGAATTTCTTGAGGTGTAGGAAAAGATGGAAATCACTGGGAGCGAGGTCCGGGCTGTAGGGTGAATGATTAAACACCTCCCAGCTGAACTCCTGCAGGAGACTTGCTGTCCGTCGAGCCGTGTGCGGCTTAGCGTTATCACTGACCGCACTTCACAGTCGGCGGGAGCTGGAATAAGAACCTCCATCTTCAACAGCTGCAACGATGCTACTGTGAGAACGCGGGAGGTGCCGTTAGTGCATGCGCCATGCTACGTCATTGCTCTATCACGTACGCACAGTCGCTTCGCGCAATATAAGGTTTGCTAGCTGTGGGACGAGTGGGAAACTTACTTTGAGGACGCGCCTCGTACAAACGCAGATGATAAGTCAAGTGACGCCACCCCAGACGCATTCCTTAAGGTGAGCTCCAGGATCCGCAGATGTGGGAGTCATGACTTCTTGCAGACATTAAACGGCCACCATTACACGTATTTCTACAGAGAAATACGTTAACAAATGATCAGACTAAATTTAATAAAGTAAGTAATGTGTCAGTCAGTTGCAGTCCCCGTTTTAAAAATAATTTGTTTTTCGCGAAGTGTGCGAGCTTCTCACTCCCAGAAATGTAAAACGCTTTATCTAAATTGGTGTTGAAATTCTTTTCCAGCCTGCGCGTTGTTCAATGTAATGTGTTTTTCTACGCGCCGTTTTTAGGAAGGTGCTGATCCTGGGCTCCGGAGGGTTGTCCATCGGTCAGGCCGGGGAATTCGACTACTCGGGCTCACAAGCCATCAAGGCCCTGAAAGAGGAGAACATTCAGACTGTGCTGATTAACCCTAACATTGCAACAGTGCAGACTTCTAAAGGCTTGTCGGATAAAGTGTACTTCCTGCCGCTCGTCCCGGAATACGTGGAACAGGTAAGGAAGGGAATCTCCGGTGGTAACCAGGGAAGGATTTAAAATGTCGCCTGTCTCAGAAATATGGATCGTAACAATCTGCATTACACGGCAAAATAACGACGTGTGACGTGGCTTGCCGTTAAACGTACCGGTCTAATACTGAATTTATGGCCAATCGGTTAGCACTCTGGTTTCGTATTTTGGAGATCCTTGATTTCAATATCACTTCAGAGACCGACTATCCTGACGGAGTTTTTCATGGTTTTTCTCAGTCCCTTTATGCTAACACTGGAATGGTGCCTTGAATTAGGTCATGCCTGCTTCCTTTCCAGTTATTAATCTTCCTATCAACTGTTGCTGTTGATAATGTCGTAAACAAGGAAACATATAAATATTGCTGAACTAACTCCATAGACGAGAGTCGTTGAGAAACTTATAGTTCGTCACCTGGCGAAGAAATAACCAGACCTCAGATATTCACAGGAGCCCAATTGGAAGATCTGTTCTGAACAGGAAGACTCTATATTGCATCCTCACAAAAAGCAAGCGTTCATAGCAAAATGTTATTCTGTCTTGAACGGTTCAAGGCCAGGCTTGTATAATTCTGATGAAGCAAGAGACTCTTAAATAAATAGATTTGCAAAAAATTCCTCTGAACTCTGTTCCAGGTACAAGATCTTACGCAGATATGATAAGGATTTGATCGCAGTTTTAAAATGTTCTGCTTTGATTCCGCTTGGGTGCTGTAATCGCTAGTAGCGCCGGTCAGTCAGAACTAGAAGTTTTTTTGGCCAATAGGAAATCTAATCAGTGAAAGAACAGTGCCATGTCACGTTTAGTGGTTGTGGAACGTGGAATAGAAACTTCAGATTCTTCGGTGCAACCCCAAACATTTACGCAGTATCCGAAAAGTTAGTAGTAAGGTAATGTTAACAACTACCAGTGTTACCAGCATTTCATATCGACCTGTGGAGTGGTTAACAACAAAATTTCTTAAATTTCTCAAGGCAGAGGTATTATTTTTGTTTCCAAACATCGAGCTCAGTCGACAGGTGACAACCTGAGATTCTTCAACTGATACCCGGTGTTTGACGCTAGCGGATCGAAACGATTCTTACTATTACAGGTGATAATATCTGAGAGACCGGATGGCGTGCTGCTTACATTTGGGGGACAGACGGCTCTGAACTGCGGAGTCCAGTTGCAGCGTGCCGGCGTGTTCGAAAAGTACAACGTTATGATCCTTGGCACACCAATTCAGTCAATCATCGAGACTGAGGATAGGAAGAAATTTGCGGACCGGGTGAACGAGATAGGGGAGAAGGTTGCCCCCAGTGCTGCTGTGTATTCGGTTCAGGAGGTAAGTCGGGGAAGAACGCGACGTCCGAGGGAGATGGGGCCGGATGTTGGTATTCCAGTCTGCATGAATTTGTTACAGGCTCTGGAAGCAGCAGAGAAACTGGAGTACCCTGTGATGGCCAGAGCGGCGTTTTCATTGGGAGGACTTGGTTCGGGTTTTGCGAACAACAAGGAGGAGTTGAGGTGTTTGGCGCAGCAGGCGCTGGCCCACTCCAGACAACTGATCATAGACAAATCCCTGAAAGGATGGAAGGAAGTGGAATATGAAGTGGTTAGGGACGCATATGATAACTGCATTACGGTAAGCTGCAGCACATTTCCACAAGTATGCATTTATGTCGATTGTGGTCTTCTGAAAGATGACTGTGTGTGGTCTTGTGGGTGTGTACTGGCATCACAGCCCAGAGGACGACATTCACCATCGTTTATGTAACTATTAGAAAATTTCCCTTTAGGAATCGTGGAAGAATCCTGTTTAAAGACTGTGTAGTCTATAAGACTTGAGGTTCTCACAGCGGTGAGTATGAAGAT